TAAGTGGGGGCCGGGTGCGTGGCAGTTAAGGGGCCCTGGGGTGCGGTGCTGAGGGGACTCCTGTCAGTCTGTGACATCGTAAAGTGCATCGCGGGAAGTGGGAAGGGAACAGCTGCTGGGGGCTTATTTCGTGTGACTGGGTCAAAAATGCTGTGGGACGGGACGGCGTTCGCGAAGTGCAGCACCCCGGCAGCACCACAGGGAAGCAGCCGCGGAAGGTGCCGAGCCAGGGCCTCCCCCACGGCCCGAGACACTGAGCAGATCGTTCTGGGCGGCACCAGAGCATGTCGGAGCCGGGGAGTCACGCGTCAGCTGGGCATCGGTCCTGCGATGATTTTCAGGCCTGCTGCTATAATTCAACTGACATTTGTAAGGTTAGCGTGGGGTAAGACGTAGCAGATCGTGGTCTAAGTCTCAGAGCTTATGATTCCTTGGCAGACAACAGATCTAACGTGCTTCGTTCATAAACCATACACAGGCGCTCATCTGATGCTCACGTGTTGGCTCTTTCAGTATCCCTGCTGTTCCTTGAGGATGCTGCTCTGTTATGAAGAGTGTCGTCAAGGTCAGGTTGGACGGGGTTCTGAGCAACCTCATCTAGTTGAAGCTGTCCCTGCTCATTGCAGGGGGGTTGGACTAGGTGACCTTTAAAGGTCCCTTCAAACACAAACTATTCTATGATTCTCTGATCATGCTTCAGTGAGGAGCTAGTTGAAGTGTTTTGGGGTTTCTGCAGTCAGTTTAGAAATAGAAGGCTCTATCAGTTAAACATCACACATCATAAACAGGCTTCTGTATCCTGTGTCATGGATAACACTTTTCATTCTGAAAAGAGGGTTTTATGATTGTGATCTTTTTATCTTACGAATGTTTTCTTTTGTTCCTCAGAAGCTGTGCCAACAAAATTAAGACATTACATTCCATTTTTCATTGTAGCTAGTTTCCTATTCTCTAGTGGCATATTTTTTTTCTTATAATGGAAATTTCTGTTTTCTTTGGTTTTATAGACCCTTCCTTTTTTTTTTTTTTAACTGGACATTCAGGTAATTTTGTAACTAGTCGTTAGTTTTCGTGGGCCTGTAACTGAACTAGGAAAATCTGTGATCCAGCATGAAGCTGGTTTGAACCAATGAGAAGATGAGGGCCCAAGTGGCAGGGGCCACGTGTGTCTTTAAACTCACGTACGATTGACTTTCTCACAATGACTTTGTGACACCAGGGGTTATTTGGCGCCCAGTTCTCGCTTGTGCTTTTGAAAATCATAGCATGATAGAACAGTTTGGGTTGGAAGGGACCTTTAAAGGTCATCTAGTTCAACCCCCCTGCAATGAGAAGGGACATCTTCAACTAGATCAGGTTGCTCAGAGCCCCATCCAACCTGGCCTTGAACACTTCCGGGGATGGGGCATCTACCACCTCTCTGGGCAACATGTGCCAGTGTTTCACCACCCTCACTGTGAAAAATTTCTTCTTTATCTCTAGTCTAAATCTGCCCTCTTTTAGTTTAAAACTATTGCCCCTTGTCCTATTGCTACAGTCCCTGCTAAAAAGTCTGGCCCCATCTTTCTTCTAAGCCCCCTTTCAGTACTGGAAGGCTGCAGTAAGGTCTCCCCGGAGCCTTCTCCGTGCTGAACAACCCCAACTCTCTCAGCCTGTCCTCACAGCAGAGCTGTTCCATCCCTCTGATCATTGCTGTGGCCTCCTCTGGACCCGCTCCAACAGGTCCATGTCTTTGCTGTGCTGAGGGCTCCAGGGCTGGAAGGAGACGCAGGACTGCAGGTGGGGTCTCAGCAGAGCAGAGCAGAGGGGCAGGATCCCCTCCCTTGACCTGCTGGCCACGCTGGTTTTGACATAGGGCTTGGAGCATGTGCCATGTGCGGAGAGGCTGAACAGAGCTGGGCTTGTTCAGCCTGGAGCTGAGAAGGCTTTGGGGGGATCTTACTGATGTGTGTAAATAGCTGATGGGTGTGGGAGTTAAACACGATGGAACCAGACTCTTCTCAGTGTTGTCCAGGGAAAAGACAAGAGGCAATAGGCACAAATTAAAATTCAGTAAATTTTATTTAAATGGAAAAATAACCCTTTTTTATGGTGGGTGTGGTCCAGAGCTGGAGCAGGACTCCAGGTGGGGTCTCAGCAGAGCAGAGTAGAGGGGCAGAATCCCCTCCCTCGACCTGCTCGCCATGCTTCTTTGGATGCAGCCCAGGATACAATTGGCCTTCTGGTCTCTGAGCGCACATTGCCAGCTCATGTCCAGCTTTTCATCCACCGGTACCTCCAAGTCCTTCTGGGCAGGGCTGCTCTCAATCCCTTCATCCCCCAGCCTGGATTGATACTCGGGGTTGCCCCAATCCAGGTGCAGGACCCTGCACTTGGCCTTGTTGAACCTCAGGAGGTTCACACGGGCCCATTCCTCAAGCTTGTCCAGGTCCCTCTGGATGGCATCCTGTCCCTCAGGCGTGTCAACCGCACCACTCAGCTTGGTGTCATCTGCAAACTTGCTGAGGGTGCACTCGATCCCACTGTCTGTGTGATTGATGAAGATACTAAAGTGTATTGGTTCCAGTATGGACCCCTGAGGGACACCACTCATCACCAGTCTCCATCTGGACATTGAGCCATTGACTGCTACCCTCTGGATGTGACCATCCAACCAATTCGTCATCCACCTAACAGTCCCCCCATCAAATCCATATCTCCCCAATTTAGAGAGAAGGATATTGTGGGAGACTGTGTCAAAGGTCTTACAGAGGTTGAGATAGATGGAATTTTAAGATTTAGTAATACTATGAACTAGTCTGTGAAACAAGTTGCAGTAGATGCTGGAGCAGAATATCTGTTGAAGTTATGTCATCCGTTCCCGTCCAAAATATGTCTTCCTGCAGTGCCAGTATAGATTATCGGATATTATAGATTATTAGCTACATAGAGCCAATAAAAATCTATCATTTATTTGCAACTTGAATTTGCTTCTTTTAAAACCAGTGGTTTAGTAATGCAAGATCAGAATTTTAGCCTTGATTACTTTAAACCCATGCTGGCCAAACCTACACGTCATTGATTTCTAAAGGTTACTTATTCTCTGCATGACAAAATAACATATTTTCTTTTGTGCATTTGTTGCAAATCATTTGTAGAGTAGTGGCATGGTCCATTTGCATTCAGTGAGTTAAAAGATACAGAAGCATACAGGGTACTGAGAGGCTAATAAGGTGAGGAAAGTGTAATCCAGTGAAAGATGGAAGCAATTACAGGTCATTTTAATGTGGAGGGAAAAAAAAGAGTTTGCACTTTCTCTTTTTTTCCACAAACCATTCAACAGTACATGGATTACAGTAAGCTGCCTGGCAGTCTTTTGGAGAAGTAAAACAGGAAAAAAAGCTGAAAAAAAAAGAAAGGACCCTAAAGCTTGATTTGTTTTGTATTCAAAATGTATGCAGTATGTTGGTAATTTATGACATTCTGGCTGTTCGCATTGTTACATGGATACTGAATTAGAATGTATTACTTCACAAATTGCAGTTCAGTTCAGTTTTGTGTAATACAACTTTGAGCCATGTGTATTTTGAGTGATTTAAAATAAATGTGAATTAGGATTCCATGCCTTTGTCTTTTTAAGGTGTCATGGAAAAACTTGGGCTTGGTCCAGAGGTCCTTCTACAGGAGAATCCCAGACTCATCTATGCTAGACTTACTGGATTTGGCCAGACAGGAAACTATGCCAAGTCTGCAGGTCATGACATCAATTATTTGGCTTTATCAGGTAGGCTGTAAAATTTCCTGTCAAATAAGTGGATTTTTTCCCCTTATATCCAGACTCAAGAATTTATTGAAAGGTTATTTGCAGATAGCTCCAATTACCTGACGTGCAGTCTGATGAATCAGCTGAGCAGAACTGAAGCGTCTCTGTCAGTGAAAGGAGGGTTTGCTTCTCTTTCCATGTGCTTCTCTCTGCTCCAGGCAGCTCTGGCGTTTGCTTAAGCCCTCTGTAAGCATCCTCACAAGTCAAAAACTGGCCAGGAGAAATGATGTTTTTCTGCCAGGTTATTGAGGTGAAGCAGTTCATTAAGGAATCCAACAAACATAAAAAGTCACCACAAGAAAGGAGGAAACATGGGCTGTATGGGCAGTTCATTTTGGCAGCAGCAGTGAGCTGTTAGGCTGGATCAGCATTGTCTTCCCAGGCTGCAGAGTATTTTCCTTTCTTTGTGCTATTTTACCTGAATCAAGCTTTTGTCTTTGAAAAGAGGACTGAAGTTTTTATGCATTTTTGTTTTTCTTCAGGGCCTCTTTCCTAGAAAATCTGTGTGCTCGTCATCCCAAGAGGACTGCAGATTATTTTACGTGTTTGTGAGCCGCTTTTTTTGTGTAAAGAAAAACTAGGCAGCCTAAACCATTTGAGCTCTTGTGCTTTTCTGCTGTAAATATCTCCCATTGATATCAACCAAAAGGAAAGTAGCCTTAGAATAAAGTGGCAATGCTATCTTTCCTTAAGGTGTTGTAGACAATATGCTGTTTTTAAGTGTCATGTTTCCACAAGCATGCAGTAACAAAAAATAACAAGATTACCCAACTCTGGTGGTAGCAGTCACTGTGTCATGCATGGCCCTACCTAGTGCTGTTCACACTGCTGCTGTCTCTGCTGCTTCTCTGAGTCTGTGAGGGAGGAGAGAAAGTGCCCCAGAATTTCTTGGCTTCCCACTGGGTAAAGCATTTATTTTAGCCACAGCAAAGTGCCAGAGCAGAGAAAGGCACTGCAGAAGTGGTCATCTGGTGTCACCTACTATGGGAAGTCATTGAGTTGTGCAATTAATTTTTTCTTCAGGGATGGGTTCAGTCTTCTCTCATTATGTAAGATTGTCAGAGAATAAAAAAAGAGTAAAGAAAGGATACCTCGTTTGAAACACTTTTGATTTCATGCCCAGATGATTTCAAAGTATTATATTTTTATTTGTTATTAGCATAGCAAAAGAGTCAGTACAGGAACACTATAGTCCATCGCTGCCTTAGATTGTTGTACTACCTTCTGTTTACAAAAAGAAGGGGTTTTTTCTCTGGACTTTAATCAGTAGTATTTTGGTTAGTGCTATCTTCCCTAAATTAAATCATTTTGCTTGAAATTTCACCAGTCAGGTTTTTCTGCCTATTTAAAGGAAATAGGACAAGACATTTGTGAGGCATCATTCCTCAAAAATGAGATCTCATATCCTGAGTGTTTTCCTGATGAGCTTTGGTTTTCTTTAACTAAAAAATGGCTTGCATTAGAAACTCCAGACATAACTTAGTACGTTAATCTGCTGGTGCCTGTGACAACTTTTAGCCTGTTAGAAGTGAGGTTTTAGTCAGCAACAGAGCTTTATGCTTGCACTAAAGGCTTTGGAACTTACTTATAATATGTGCTCTGTTGCTTGCACTTAGGAATTGCGTTGGACTATTGGCTAACTAAACAGTGCATCAGAATCATGCAGTTCTCAGGAAATTTTGACCATGTATGCTGCAAGTCTCAGACCTTAGGCTACAGGCATAAGAGAGATACGACCATACTGCAAAGTTTCTTGCTTGCCCAAAGGGAATTGCTATGAGAGAACTACAAAGAGTAAGGTGACAGTAAAGAGCTTGTTCAGCATGGCAGAGAAATGCTAACAGATTCAAAGCACTGTCTGAAGTAACCTGGCTTAGCCTTTGCTCTCTGCCCTTTCATTTCTGCATAATTTGTGGCATAAACATAGGATCCCTGTGTCTATGTTGCATGCAATCAGAGGTAACCTTTTTGTGTTATTCACCCATTCCTCTTATATGCAACCTTTTTTTTCCAAAGGTAGTTGAAGAGGGAGGATAGGACTGAAGTGCAGTTGTCGGTGTGAGATCCTTTGTTATGATTCTTAGTTCATGGGTTACGTGCACAGAATACTGTACATCTGCATTTTTACTTTAAAAGATTCAAAGAAGAATTTACCGAAGTTGCTTTGAGACATGTTCATAATGGCTGTTGAATTGTTATGGAGGAGGTTCTATGCATGTACAAAGTACTAATAGAATTATTGCACACAAGGGTTTTTTCGATAGAATTTTGTCCCTATATAGCCAAAGTATCAATGACTTATCTGTGACACTTCTATTGATCTCTTTAATTAAATGCATCTTCACTAATATGATTTCATATATTCTATTATTTTGTGAATTAAACAGTGACGATTTGCTAAGACACAGCCAAGTAGAGACAGAAGACGTGGTAGAAGTTTGCTTTATCCTTTGTTTACTTGCATAGATTGAAAAGAATGAAACTTTAATTGTAGAAATGTAGAAATGAATGTTTATAATTAATTTTATATTTACGTTTGCTTTGTTTGTTCTACTGTCAGGTGTGCTGTCAAAGCTGGGTAGAAAAGATGAAAACCCTTACGCACCTGTAAATCTTCTGGCTGATTTTGCTGGTGGAGGTGTCATGTGCGCACTGGGCATTGTTACAGCCCTTTATGAACGTACCAAATCTGGAAAAGGGCAGATCATTGATGCAAGTATGGTAAGTTTGATCTCAAGGAAGGTGGGATTTCTTAGGTTTGCTTGTTTGGGTTTTTTCCTACTCTTAAGACTACTCTTCCTCCTTAAAAGGGAGGAAATTGGAGCTGTTCATAAGGTTTAAAATTGAGAACTTGGGAAAGGAAAAGTAAATAATCTCATAAAATGGCTATTCTTTTATGTGCAAGCAGTTTTCACCTATCACTGTTGCCATAACATCCTTACGACATGGGACACACCCTGCGGCTTTCTGCCTATGCCATTCCCTATCTTTCCTTTTGCCAGTCTGCCTTCTTCACAAAATATTAGCTGTATATTTTTGATGAGTAAGTTTGGTGTATGGACATGGGGTGTTTAATAAACAATTAACACCATGCATAACAGCAAAAATTATGATCACAATAAAATTAAGAATTACATTAGCTTTATCCAAGACGCATCTGCTTATGAATTTGTGACAGGTCATGTCTTATTAGAAGCACTGTTCCCTCAAATAATTACACTGCCATGGATTATTGCCAAGAAGTCAATTTCAAACACAAAGTGTTTGAAATTTTGTGTTAATGTGCCATAAAAAAAATGAAAGGCTAAATTAGCTTAATAATGAATACTATGGATTTTTTCACTGCAAGGCCACCCACTTGCACACAGAGGAAAAATACATATTTACATTTATCCTTGAAACCTGTATTATCTGCAGGTGTTTTTTCTCTCTCTGTCTCTCTCTTTTTCTGTTTTTCTTTTTAAAGAGTGTTGCAATTAAAATTTGACCTCCCTTTGAGGTGTAAAGGCTATGATTTGGACTTAAATATACATTGAAAAAAAAATATTAATTGAAAAAATTCCTTTGCTGAAGAGGTCTTGAAAACAGAGGAATAGCAAGATTATGAATGTTAGCCATCTTGACTTAGGTAAATTTTTGACAAATTCATATGACATTCTCAGAGGCAGGTCACACCATTATGATCTCGATGAAAATTCTGTGGGATCGGTCTAAAACTGGTCTAATGTTTTTACCCCAACAATAGTTATTAGTAGTTGATTGTCAAAATTAAAAACTTATCAAGTGGAGTTCTACAAATGTCTGTGATTTTTTTAGAGTGTTTTCTCCAATAAGCTGTATGATGGATGAGCGATTGTGTTTAGGAAATTTACAGATGATATGTGTGTGGGAAGAACTACAAGTATGTTGGACACTGGGATTAGAATTGAAAATGACCTTTTCAAATTGGAGAAATGACCTGAAAAAAGTTGGCTGAAATTCATGTAGACCACTGCTCTGTAGTTCTCTCAGGCAGAAACTATTAGCTGCACAAATGCAGAACAATTGGCTAAAGTACAATCCTGAGGGTTTGTAGTAGTCACAAGCTGAACATGAGTCAACAATGTCATGCTGTTGTAAAACACACACATACTGTATTAGGATGTATAAACAGGAAATAGAGCCAGAAAAGTTTCTGAAGTAATTCTTCTAATCTATTCAACATTTATAAGGCCTCCAGAAAATACTGTTTCTGATGCTTTTCTTTCAAAAAAAGACCAATTTGAGGAAGTCTGAGAAACACAACAAAAATTATGTAAGTCTGAAAACATGACCTACAAAGGAAGGTTGAAGGAATTTGTGTATTTGTGAAGCAAAAACTGTGGAGAATTGTGACAAATCTTCAAGTATTAAAAAAGATATTTCTTGTAGTTTGGAGTATTACCTTATCTTCATTATCAGGACTTTAAGTCATTAAAAGAATTTGTTAAGGGAAGAATCAATGTAAGTCTGCTAATGTCTTAATGAGATCTCTGGCTCAGGGGGAATGGAATGTGTTGTGGGTTCTTGTGGGTCATTTTTAAGCCCTCAAAATTCCTCTCTTTCAGTTTTTTCTTGTCTCATTATAATTGTGGAATTTACAGTTCCCTGCTGATGTTCCTGGTATCCTGTGAAATGGATGGAATATTGTCCAGTATCACTGGATGTTCTCTCCCTGGCATTTTGTTATGTTCCTTTCACTTCAGCAGACTTTCAGTGAGACAGTTGATGAAAAACATACATGCATCATCAACAGAAAAGACAGCTAAATAGACTGGGTTGATGAGCCTGGTTTTATATCTAAGTTTGTTTCATGGGTCCTGCTTTTCAGCTGTCTACCACAGAAGAATTAAATGCCTGGTCTGAATTGATTCATGTTAGTTGTTGTCTCTTCTCTTTGACGCTGTAGGGATCATCAGTATCTTACAGTGAGCCTGATAGCTCCCATGTGCTGAGTAGGATGTCTGTGTGGACAGTGCGAGGTGATGTGGTAGGCACAATTGCACATCTGCACTCTTGCACCACACTGGAATAGAGGCATGTGAGTCAGGGCCAGACTTCAGGTTCACTCCAAATTCAGACACACAGTCTTCTGCTGATGGTAGGCATCTGACCAGCCATGACTCACTCTTTGTGAAAAGACAGCCACAGGAGAGAATGGTGGTAATTATCACTTGCATAACAGTCTCATGGCAAGAGCATTTAGCTGTCCAACAGAAGACCGGGGTTCCAGGTTTTTCTCAGCCTTGCGGTATTCAAAACCAAAACCCTCACTCCTAGAGGCATTAATCAGTCACGAGGATAAAGATTAGACTGCTTTGGATTCATTCTCAGTTTTGTTTGAACTGTTTCACTCTGCAGAAGAAACAGAAGACTTGCAGTCCAGACAGGTCACCCAGCGGAGTGGTGCCTCTGGATTCTTGTCCTTGCTTCAGAGACTGATGATGCTTTTAGCAGGAGGGAGCCATTAAGTGAAACACGTAACTGTTACCATTGTGCAATAAGGCTTAAGTGGAGTCTCCCCATGTTGTCCTTTTCATGTTGTAAAAGAAAGTGACCACATTAATGTGTATGTGGTGTTACTTGAGCATGCCTGTGGAGGTTTGGTGCAGATGTTAGACACCCTTTTACTTGTCTCTGAATTGCAGTGGGCCTCAGGCAGAAGCTAGCTCTCCACTTGCCCAGCCAGGAATATTTCTAAAGTTCCTATACCAGTCCAAAACAAATGTGCTATTTTATTTTAAGCGTCTCCAGGGTAAGTAGCACTGTACGTAGGTATTGTAAGTAGTTCTGTCAGCAGCAAAATCTAATTTGCAATTAGAGCTTATTCTGATATTCTCCCCATCTATTCTTATCCTTACTTCCAATGTTTTTTCTGTATTGTTTTTTAATATGAGCAGTGCCAGATCAGATGATTAGTAAAGCAAACACTATTTTGATATCCTTGCAATCATTTTGCAAACATGTAGGTGAACATATACAGTATTTTCTTATATGAAAGTACTTTAATTGACTTTAACGTATGACAAGTAGGGCAGAAGTATTCCTGTCCTTGTGGCAGGTACTTGAGAAAGAGGCCAAGTAATACACATTAAATGAAGAAGCCTTCATAACTGCATACTTCAAAGATTTGCATATTTTAAGTTCTTGCTTAGATCTTTCCACATGAAAATGCAGTAGCTTTTTATTTTGGTACAATCGCTGTGCTTTTCTCTATAGACAATATTAGGTTAATTTTACACAGCTGAAAATGCATGAATCAAAGTGATACTCAAAATTATACAGCTCAGGTTTTTCCTCTGTTCCACTGGAATGTTTCTGGCCATGTACTGCTACTGCCTCATCTTCTCTTACAGTTTTTCTAATGCAGTTGGAAGAAAATGGATTCTGCTGGTGAGCAAAACTGTAGCATATGATTTTGCTTGGAAAGACTGGCACAAGCTTGATAATTATTGAAAGGCTGAACAAACTGAGTTTTCATCTGGTTGTACTCCACATAGCCAAAATTTTAAGGAACAAGTTGGAACAGGATCAATCATGTTTTCTAATGCTGTATTCATCAGGCACTTGCCTGTTTAGAGATTACCTTGATATTTCTATGCACCTGCCAGTGGTGAGAATGGGAGAATAATTTTTGTTTTAACTTAGTGACGGAGATGAGCTTCCTAGTTCCCATGGTATAAAAGAGCTTTAACTTTTGATTTCCTTCCAGTTTTTTTCTAAAAATAGCAGTCGTCTTATAATTAGTAAATTCAAAGAAGTTAATGTTGAGAAAAAAATTTAATACTTACAGGACTGGTATAGGTATCTTGATTTCCAGTTTTAGAAGGATTGATGGCTCTCAGATACTTAATGTTCTATAGAGCCAAGAAGCTTGTCCCATCACCTAAAATTACTTATATTCTCTCTGTGAACTCCTAAAGATTATAAACTTGCTAAATGAGGAAATTTTGTGTGTTGACAGTGTGTTATCCATCTGAAGCTGCATTATTACATTTGTGCTCTTTTTTATTCTCTAATTCTAGATGATTTCACATATGCAATATACACAGTAATTGAAAATTTTAAGAAATTAAACTGCTAGAGATTTTGTCATTAAAAACCTTAACAAAGGACAGAACTGGTACTAGTTTTTTGCTGTTTTGTTTTTTGTATGACTAAGGTAACATGCCAACTAATTTACTGAAGCTATTACTTTTTCTTTTAAATTTTCAAGGTAGAAGGAGTAGCATACCTAAGTTCTTTCCTGTGGAAATCACAAAATTTGGGACTTTGGAACAGACCTCGAGGTGAGAACCTCCTAGATAGTGGTGCACCTTTTTATGAAACCTACAAGACCTCCGATGGAAAATTCATGGCTGTTGGTGCCATTGAACCACAATTCTATGAGCAGTTAATAAAGGGTAAGTAGCTTGGAGAAGTTGTTTCACATCAGCAAAGCATGATTGAATTAATTCTTTAATACCTGATTCTGATTTGATTATGTTGTTTTATTTGTAAAAGCCAAACACTTCTTGAACCTAATTGGGTAGTAGTGTAGCAATTTAGCTGACTTTCTTCTTCTAGCTATTGATTTCTTTCTTTTTCACCCCTTCTTCACCTTACACTCAGAAACGACACTTGAATTACAGGTTTTGTTCTGGACTTGTGGTAATGGTAGTGGATGGAGGTAATGGTAATGATGTGGATGGAGCACTAAACTATTTTTGGAAACCACTTTTTTCAAGGGATGGTGAATATACTTTAAAAAGGAGACATAATTTTTTGGTATTACAAATAAAATTTCAGTCCATTTCAGTTATTTGTGCAACAATTTTTTAAAAAAGAAAGTATTTTAATTGTTTCAGAAGTGAATGTTCATTGGAAGTAGTTAACAATATTTCTTAATAGAACGTAATTTGTCTAGAAGCAAAGTCAGCTTTATAAGTAAATTTCCACCACACAATTTGAGTGCCTGCAGAGTCCAGCTATGAATATAATTTTTAGATTTGACTGAATACTCTTTAAATATGACTATAAAATATGATTTAGAATGAGTCATGCAAAATAATTGGGTGAAGTTAAAACAAATTTGCAGGTGCTTTTTTATCTTTGAACTGTTCTGTGTGCTTCAAGCTTTTGGTCAGATGTGGTCTTAGCTTCTTTCTGGTTATTTACTTTTAAAATAACTTCTTCTGTTGTGCTCCTTTGGTAGGTTGCTATGCTTTCCATACAGAATTTATGAAAATATAAAAAATTCACAAAAGAATTTGATATTTATTCTCTTTCCATTATTCTGAATATGAAGGATATAAAAAGTTCTCAATCCAATTTTAGTTTTGCTTAATAAGTAGAAGGAATACCAACAAAGGATATATTGAAAGCAGATGTACTCAGTGTTACATGAACCAATTTTGTATGTGCATGACTTACATGTGGTAAATCTTTGCTGACTGAGGGTGGCAGTGGAATAGCTCCTTATTCTTTCTCAGTCTCTCCCCACTGACTATCCCTTCAACTGTTTTGGATGAGATAGAGTTAATTTTCTTCATAGTAGCTTGTATGGGACTATGTTTTGGATTTGTGCGGAAAAGAATGTTGGTAACAAGGGATGTTTTAGTTATTGCTGCGCAGTCATAGAATCACAGAATCGTTAAGGTTGGAAAAGACCTCTAAGATCATCAAGTCCAACCACCAACCCAACACCACCATGCGCACTAACCCATGTCCTGAAGTGCCACGTCCACATGTTTTTTGAATACTTCCAGTGATGGTAACTCCACTTACTCCAGTAAAGAAATTTTTCCTAATAACCAATCTAAACCTCCCCTGGCGCAACTTGAGGCCATTTCCTCTCGTTCTATTGCTAGTTAGTTGGGAGACGAGACCAGCACCCACCTCACCACAACCCCCTTTCAGGTAGTTGTAGAGAGCGATAAGGTCTCCCCTCAGCCTCCTCTTCTCCAGACTGAACAACCCCAGTTCCCTCAGCTGCTTCTCATAAGACTTGTGCTCCAGACCCCCCACCAGCTTTGTTGCCCTTCTCTGGACACACTCCAGCACTTCAATGTCCTTCTTGGAGCGAGAGGTCCAAAAGTGCACACAGTATTCGAGGTGCAGCCTCACCAGTGCTGAGGGGCACAGTCCTTACACAGCATCAAGGACTTTTCTGCTCCTCACACCACCCCTCCAGCGAGAAGGCTGGGGGTGCACAAGCAGTTGGGAGCGGGCACAGCTGGGACAGCTGACCCCAACTGGCCAAAGGGATGTTCCATACCATATGGCGTTGTGTTCAGCAATAAAACCGGGAGAGAGGTTGGCGGGGGGGCACTGCTCAAGGACTGGCTGGGCATCAGTCAGTTCATGGTGAGCAATTGTTTTCATTTGTACCACTTAACCTTTCTTGGGTTTTCTTTTCCTCTCGCTTCGTTAGTATTTTTTCCCCTCTTTTCCTTACAGTGTTTTTTAATTATTATAATTTGTTTCTAGTTATTAAATTGTTTTTATCTCAACCAATGAGCTTCTTTACCCCTCCAATTCTCCCCTTTCTCCACTGGCAGGAAGTGAGTGAGTGGCTGTGTCGTTCTTAGTTGCTGGCTGGGGTTAACGTGACAGTTCCTGTCACGGGCAATTACTGCCAGGTCAGCCCGAATCAGCTGTGTCGTGCTAGCAAGAGTGTAGTCAGTGCCAGGGCCTGCTCTTCCAAGAGTTTTTGAAATTCAGGAGCATGTTAAGATGAAATGAAGGTATAGGCTTGTAAGGCGGGGTATGTCTTTGGTGAGCAGGTACACTTTGGCTTTGTTCTCTTGCAACCTGTGGTGCTCCCAGAGTTCTCGTACATCTGTGGCTGTAAATGGCTGCTTCTCTGCATAGCTTAGAAAGAGCTGTGCAGTTGTGTAGAATATCCAAATTGGTACATGCTAATGCATGATGTGCTGCCGCTGGATCAGATGTCAAATTTGGAAGAGCTATGTTCTTGGCTGAAGAAGCTGGTACTTTGTCCCTCATTGTCCTGAGAATTACTTGTTTGCAAACTCTGGTTCTAACCCACTTGATCTTGAAAAAAAGAGTGTGGCTGATTATTCCACAATTTGCAGTTATTTGAAATGTTATTCTCATTCAATCCTTTAAGGGTTTTTTTGCTTGCAAGAAATGGAGTTGGAGAACAAAAATAAATATAGAACTGTATCAAGGTAAAATGTAAGCCCTTGCTCTGGAGGTTAGGGAATTTGGAATTGCAATACATGTCTTCAGGGAGAATGTCTGTATTAAATACAAAGGAAAAAAAGAAAAGAATAAAGCTGCGTACGCAAATAGCCATATGTTTGGCTTAAAGTGATCAAACGCTGGCCTGCAGTATTCATGACTGTAGTTTATTCCTCTCTAGAGATTAAGTTGAATAGCACTTACTTTTAACTTACAGGAGTGGGATGGAATCTATATTTGTTCAAAAAGAAAACAAATTCTGTAATGGAGTCTCATCTTTTTTGTCACTCTTCTCAGTGAACCTTTGCTGGACACTCCAGCCTTCTTGTATTGATCATTGCTACAGGGCAAGATTCAGGCTCTTCTCTCTCAACTAGCCAGCCACCTTATCTAGAAAGCAGCCCCTGGTGAATGAATCCATTGGTCAGGCAATATAACATGATCACTGACTGGTCTCTGTCTTATTTAGATAACTCTTTACTGAGGAAAATGCTAAAATTCTCGGTTTTCCTCTTAGTTGTTTCTCAGAAATCTAGAGCATAAAATTGCAGCAGCAACTATGAATTCATCTGCTTATATTGGGGCATCCACATTGGACAACTTTATTTTCATGTTTCAAAGTACTCCTTATGCTTAACAGTGCACAGAAATGACTTTATTTCAACTGCTGAAGTTTCAAAAGTGTAAGTAGACAACAACTGCAATCACAGCTGTTCCTGTGTTTCAGTCTGTTTTGGTCAAATTTTAAAAATCCAACATATAGACTGCAGTCTTCTAAGGAAATATTGCATTTTGCCTTTAATTGTAACTTAATCACAATCTTTACTTGTTTACAGTCAATAATTTTTCTTTGTTTATTTTAGAAAAGTGTGTTGTTTAAAGTATCAGACTGAACTCAGGATTTTTTCACAATATTGCATTTAAAATAAGTGGTCTTTCTTCATTGTATTTTAGGTACATGTTATGAATTGTTCAGATTTTCACATAGGAAATCTTTATCCCCTTCAGTTGTTATGGTTGCAAGATTTCTGTAGCAGTAGTGTTCTGAATTAGAACAGCAGATCCTTCTTGTGGCTTAGGGATTTTTTCCTTTCTGGGATATCTATTGCAGAAATTCAATTCAGAATTTAAACTCTTGAATGTTATAGGGAAGAAAAAGCTGCTTGTGAGGATTGTATTGCTCTTTCACAAACTCAAGGAGCTTTGACTTAGACTGAGTCGTCTGTTCCAGGCATTAATTCCCTCCTTTGTAGTAGTTTTAAAATGGTATGTTCCAGTTAAAATTTCCGTAATTTTATTTCATAGTTTTTTCCCAATAATTCTGGTCAGTTCTGCTGGTGAAGAAGTTGGTGCTGTTCCAGATAAAATATATTCAAAAGCCATTTTATGTGTCTCTGTCCATGTTCAGAGAGTAGGTTACTTTTGCCACTCGTATGTAATGAGAACACAAGGATATGGGTGTTGTAGATGTAAGAGCTGGAGAATTAAAGATTGCAGAATTGAGATAGGAACATGATTTCTGAACCATTTGTCACTTCTCACAGAATTCTGGTTATGCAAAGTGAAACTAATTTCCTTTTGATTTTGGTTCACTTCAGTGTTTCCCTGCAGAATTAGGAATCCAGTGCTGGACCTGAGTGCAGTTAATGACATGGTGAGGAAAGTTCTTAGTTAGTTTCCCTCTGCAGACGCCCTTAAGTTTAAGAAAATACAGCATTTTAGTTTGAGAAGATTGTTGGCTTTGTAGATTGTGCTCGGCAGGGAAAATTAAATTTCTGTGTACCACAAATTTATGATTTTTTTTAAAAAAAAAGCTTATATGAGAAACTGAAACTGTATAAAATAGATACGGTAAATAATTGCTGTAGTAGCTGTAGTATTAGGATACAAAGCCCTAATCCTGGGCTCACTATAAGACTATTTGCAGTTAACAAACATGCTGTAATCCTTTTGCTTATATTAATTTTATTGCTACAAAAGTTAGCCAATAAATAATGAAAATACCATTGCATCTTATGAAAAATCTGATGTAAGAAACATGTGCTACTAATGTTAAATCTCAATGTTTTGGCAGAAAGAGACAGAATGTCTTCCAACACCATCTAAATTACTTCTGCAGGTTTCTCTTGATTTTTAGTAATATGTGCTTAGTATTGCTGTAGCCAGGCTACAAGAGGCATGCAGAACACAGTAGATTTTGTATATCAGGTGAGAGTAAAGGTTTGATTCTTTGTTATCATGTGGTGTAAACTGGCTCACATAGGGTGAACTTAATGTCAACTTACATTGATCTGAAAAGCACTAACAGTCACTAAAGTTCTCAACGTGTATTTGATAGTACTCCTTTCGTACTACTTTGATACTCCTGCATAGTGTGACTTCTACTTAAAAAGAAGGAAAAAAAATTAGGAAATACTTGGAAAAACATAATTTGCATCATTATAAAGGATTTCCATAGGGCTCTCCATTTTATGATTGTAAAGTATTGTGTACTGTATTAAAAATCTGCTAATGTACTGAATTCAATACAGTGTTGTTACTAAGACATGCAAAGTGGACAAACAGTTTCCTCATTACATTTTAGACTCTCTCAGTTACACATAATGTTATGTTTCATTTTAATTTACTTATCATCATAACCCTTAAACATTGTACAAATACTGTAGAGAGCCAGGTTCTTGCTGGACCAAAACATTTGCAATTGTGGTAAATAAATACGTAAACTTGGACTACAGCTATGGATGAATTTGCAGCAATCCTCTCATAGTACTCTGGGCCTGATCAACCTTTTGCTAAACTGTTGCTTTCTAAAAAATTATTTAATTTCAGATACTTCGAGCTGAGAAAAAACTTCACATAGCTACTTTAATAAAAATTCACTACTGTCTTGGAATATTCTGAAGTTCAGTTCCCTCTCAGAGTGAGAATGAATTCTATTTAGAGAGAGAGTGCACAATGGCATACACCTTATGTCTGTGGTTTGGGCCAAAATTAAGGATTTCCATACTAGATGCTTCTGTTCATAGAATCATAGAATGGTTTGGGTTGGCAGGGTCCTTAAAGATCATCTAGTTCCAACCCCCGGCCATATGCCAGGACACCTTCCACTAGACCAGGTTCCTCAAAGCCTCATCCAGCCTGGCTTTGAACACTTCTAGGGATGGGGCATTCACAACTTCTTTAGGCAACCTGTTCCAGTGTCTCACCACCCTCAGTCATGTTGTGGCAACATAATTTCAAAATTACCATGCTATGAGCATCTAATTTTGAAAAGAGAATCAAGTTAAAACAAAAAAATTATGAACCAAGCTCTGCTAAGGATCCTAAATAATCTTTGATAATAGTATAGACTTGATCTTAAAGGTCTTTTCCAATCTGAACGATTCTGTGATTCCATGAAATACTGTAGGAAACTATTTATTTCCAACATACCAAAGCAGCTTCGCTGATTTATGTAATGGATTTTACTGTTTTCTCTCTCTTGAAATAGGCACCTAATTTTACTCCACTTTGTCTAAGAAGTTCTGTAGAAATAGAGATTTCAACTTGTTGCACTAATAAATGACATGCAAATATATGTCAATAAAGCTATAGCATTTAAAGAAGACTTAAAGCTATATGATTATAAGATTTAATCTTTCATTTTTCAAAAATCGTTATTTCAGAGCTGTAATAGGGTAGGTTACTCGGCTTTTCTAAACAAAAATCCCTGGATGAAAATTTGAACAAAAAGCCTTGGAAACAAGTTGTGATTGCTTTACCAGATATTCTGTGTAAAAGATACTTTGCTTATGATTATGTTGGGTGAAATCTGTCATCCTGTGGTATCCCAAACAATTCTGTGCTGTGTAATTGTTTCCTTGTTGACTAAGTTGCTCCTGCTGCGATTCTGTTCGTCTGCACCACAAATGGTTAGCACAAGCTGGAAAATTAGAAGCTGTACTGCTTAAATGCTGTTGGTTCATGCTATTTAAAGTTGAAGTCTTCAGTGGTCAACGGAAAATGAGCATGTAATATTAAATTCCAGGTTCTGCATATTGTTCTATTTTGCTAGAGCATGTACAGTTGGGTTCAGCCAACTTTCCATCTGGCACGATCTTCAAATATAATTGTGTAATGGGAGAATGGTAGAGCTCTGTTTATGTTGGACAGGCTACTAGAACTCAAACTAATTAATGAGGAAATAAATACTTATGAAACAGTGTTTCCAGTTGACAAGATTTCATGCATTGAGACAGAATCTCAGATAGTGTGTTGTTACTTAGTTCCTACCACTACCACTACTTGCGGAAGGTGAACTTGCCTCACCTCCTAGTTCTTAAGTAAATGTAAAGCGCTGTTTATCTTTAGTGTTATACTCTGAAGATTAATAACCAAATTAATTTTGAAAGCATTGTTAGCGTCTGTTTAATTATGGATGCTCAACCAGTGTAAGCAATTTTCAGCTGATTTTTCTTTTAGGATTATATGAATGGTTTTGAAGACTAGATTGTAGGTTTAGTGATTTAAGGTGCACGTGACTTGGAACTCAATAAGGACTGATGTTTACCTTGTAGTGATACTTATTCTGATATCTGTAGAAATCTCTAATAAGATGTGAAAATGCTTATGCTGTCTTTGACTGTGTTGATTTTTTACTAAACATGAACAGCTGCAAGTCTGTATTTCCGAGTCTGGAGACTGGCAATTTCTCTGTGTTTTCCTTTGCAGAACCAAAGTAAGATTTCAAAGCATGTATTCATTTTCAAAGCTACTGTTTAAGAATCTTGTGGTGATCAACAGTGAAATTAAGTCTTAAATATTAGGATAACTTGGGGGAGCCTATGAGCCCCCAGAAGTGCATGTAGTAGAGATTATAAGCAGAAAGAAAGAACTTAAAAAAGAGTGGGAGAATGGACATTATCTTCCCTTCTTCTACCCTGTATGTTTCAGTAATTATATGTCTGCCCCTCTCAGTGATAAGGAAGCTGTAGAAATAGAAGATACATGAAGTTTTTTCTGCCTATCTACAGCTAAAGATTAGAGTTCTGTGTAAATTCTACCTGCAAACAGGCATCTAGTAGCCAAGCCTGTTAACAGTTGCAAGTCAGATCATCAATCTCCTACCAGATATCGAAAGATATAAGAAAAAATGCTCAAAATTAAATGTTTGCAAAACTCCACACTTTCTCTGTCTTTTACACAGAGCTGTTGCTTTCTAAGCAGCTCCCTTTTTTTGTTGTTTTTGAAGCACTATGATAATAGTTGTACTCTAGCCTTTCTAATTTCTCAAATTAACTTCTTTCTTATCCCTGCTTTTTCTGAGTTTTTCCTGCTATGTTCATGCTCCTGAATTTCAAGATGTGACCAGACAGCCTTCAATATACCACTTCTGATTTCTATTTGATACCATAGACTTTGTTTGTACTTCTGTTTGTACGGTCTCCATTTTGAAAGTATGGTTTAATTGCTTTTCTCTTTCTTCTTTCCTACCTCCTTTTTGAGATAAACCCTACAAAAAGTTATAACAATTCTTGGATTTCCTTGAAGTAGGAGGATGGAAGGGTAGGGAGTGCAAAGAGCAGAATCTGTGAGAACAGAAACAGAAGTGGGAAATGGGCTGCACAGGAGAGATATAAACTCCCCAATGAGAGGGAAGGTAGTGCTTAGTTAAGGGAAGGACCTAGGACTTGTCTAGTTCAGGAAATTTTCACACAAAGCCTGTGTGTCCATCTTCTGCCCTTGCGTCTCAGAAAGGATGTCGCATATTGCATACCTGGGTGGTCCATGCAACTGATCTTCTGGGAAGCAGAATTCTTAAGCAGTTGGTGAGGGTAAGGGCTATGGGTTTCACTTTTCCAAAAGAGCAGCATTGGAGAGTTGGAGCCTGGGATGTGTGCTGAAGAGAGGAGAGCAGCATTTGGACTGAGGGAGTCGAGAAGCAGGTCCATTAGCCTGCAGGTACCTGTAGCCGAGCTACCTCATGCACATCAAGCCTGGGAATATCCAGGCACACCATGTTCTCATCTCTGACATAGAAGTAACCTGATCATGTTGGACACTCTAGCCTGCTGAATGTCCAGCTCTGGCAGATGTACTATGAGATAAGTATATTGCTGTAGTTCAATACCTGTTTAGCAGACCTTTCTGTTGCTACTGCCAGGTAGAAAATACAATACCTGTTACAGAAAATGTTCTCAGGACAAAATTTTATCTCTGGGTAGCTTCTGCTGTTATGAAGTGTTTATAGAAATGAGTGTTTATTATAGGTACTTAGTTAAAAGGCTGTAGCTGATGCGGTTTAGTCTAACTGCAAGAAACAAAAAATTTTATTCTTCTGCTCCCTCCCCCTCAATCATAGATATCCTAACAAGTTTTGAAGCGACGTTTAGTTGGTATGCTCTGCTGTGTTGGACTGCCTGCAAAACATTAGCTTCTTGAGGAACATACTTAGTTGTGGGCAGCATTTTAATTTTTCTAAGCTATACTATAGTTAAGCTTTGTTTTTCTCCTTTCAGGTCTTGGGCTAGATTCCGATAAACTTCCCAATCAGTTGAGTTTCTCCGACTGGCCTGAAATGAAGAAAAAATTTGCATCCATATTTGCACAGAAGACACAAGCTGAGTGGTGCAGCATATTTGATGGTACTGATGCCTGTGTGACCCCTGTTTTATCCTTTGATGATGTTGCCTCACATCAGCATAACAAACAAAGAAGTTCTTTTATCAAAAATGATCAGGAAGAGATAAGTCCGAGACCTGCTCCTCTTCTATCAAGGACCCCTGCTGTTCCATCATTTAAAAGAGATCCTTTTATAGGAGAACACACAGAAGAGATACTTCTAGAATATGGATTTACTAAGCAAGAGATTACTAAACTTTATTCTGATAAAATAATAGAATTCAGTAAACCAACAGCTAATTTATAATCTCTGACTATGCAGATCAGACACATTTCAGGCTGATACAATATGTTTTTATGCATTAAATTGAATTACATGATAAATAAATGTTTGCATAATATAGCTTTTAAATATTTTTTAATTATTGACTTTTAAATGTTATTGAAAACAGTGGCAGTTCTGTACTTGTGTACACAGATGGTCTGCAGTCTAGAGTGATATCAAAATTGTGTCCTGAAGATCTACAGTTTGCTTAGTAAGCAGCTATAAATCCTCAAAATGTTTCTTTAAATATCATATCCTGTGAAATGTTTGTTTCTTTTAATTCTTAGTTACACCATTGCTTTGTAATACAAGTTGTAATTACATGAAGGCAATACTTTTCATAAAGTATAGTTATATTCTTCCTAAACAAGTGATTGTGTTGTTTACTCATAGATTAGAAGGGATTTTTTTTCTCTATCCTATCAGATTAATTCATTTGCTGTATCGTGCCAAAGCATTGATTGAAATAATGCTGTTTTCTTATGTGCTGCTGTAGAGTTATTATCATAGAGTAATTCTATTTTGTAGCCTGATGACATTTTCCTAATGCAGTCTCCTGATTATATTACATTTGGAATTTCAGTTTGCCTAGAAAATCACTTCAGAACAAAATTTGTTACTTTAAAATAGCTGCCAAGTATTAACGCTTTCCTCTCTTTTTGGAAAAATGGTAAGCAACTTAATTGCACAGGTTTTAAACAATGGTTATTCCATGGTGGCTTTAAATTCCTTCAAAATTAAACTGTCATTTGAAACAGTCTCCGAGGCGCAAAAAAAAAAAAAAAAAAAGCTTTTAACAAGAATTAGTTGTATGGCCTTAATACAGTTTTCTTTAGTCTGAGATGTCAGGAATTATGATATGAGGGGTTGGAGTTTTTTAAAGTTTTGTCAAAGTGTTCACCTTGCTGAAGATTAGTTTGTTGCTTACAAATACTTCCAAAATAGAGATATACTTTACCTCCTTTTACTTGTGTCATGCCAAAATGTCAGCATTATTACTATTAAAAAACCTTTTACATTCTACTACATGAACACCTGCCTGGAAGCAAGAATTACCTAGTAGGTCCAGACAAATTAGATAAACAATCAGCAAAAGCACATTAAATTCCCAGCTGTCAATCACTCTGATGTGAATTACTGAATATTATACACCTTTACAGTAAGATTTGGTGATTTGCTTAGTCCCAGATGCATCTGACCATGCTGGAGAACAATAAATGTTGCCAAATGTAATCCCAAGTGCACCTATGTTTTGACCCCAAAATCACTGAAGTCAATTTAAAAACTCACGTTAACTTCAGGGGTCCGCACTGGGACCAGTGCTCTTTACTGTCTTCATCAATCACACAGACAATGGGATCGAGTGCACCCTCAGCAAGTTTGCAGATGACACCAAGCTGAGTGGTGTACTTGACACACCTGAGGGACGGGATGCCATCCAGAGGGTCCTGGACAAGCTTGAGGAATGGGCATGTGTGAACCTCCTGAAGTTCAACAAGGTCAAGTGCAGGGTCCTGCAGCTGGGTCGGGACAACGTACAGGCTGTGGGATGAAGGGATGGAGGGCAGCCCTGCCGAGAAGGACTTGGGGTACTGGGGGATGAAAAGCTGGACATGAGCTGTCAATGTGCACTCGCAGCCCAGAAAGCCAGGTGTGTCCTGGGCTGCATCCAAAGCAGCATGGCCAGCAGGTTGAGGGAGGGGATTCTGCCCCTCTGCTCTGCTCTGCTGAGACCCCGCCTGGAGTCCTGCGTCCAGCTCTGGAGCCCTCAGCACAGCAAAGACATGGACCTGTTGGAGTGGGTCCAGAGGAGGCCACAACAATGGTCAGAGGGATGGAACAGCTCTGCTGTGAGGACAGGCTGAGAGTTGGGGTGGTTCAGACTGGAGCAGAGAAGGCTCTGGGGAGACCTTATTGCAGCCTGCCAGGACTTAAACGGGGACTAGAAGAAAGATCGGGACAGACTTTTTAGCAGGGTGATAGGACACCCTGCAGTAGTGATAGCACAAGGGGTAATGGTTTTAAACGAAAAGAGGGCAGATGTAGACTAGAGAGAAGGAACAAATTTTTCACACTGAAGCTGATGAAACACTGGCACAAGTTGCCCAGAGAGGTGGTAGATGCCCGATCCCTGGAAGTGTTCAAGGTCAGGTTGGACTGGGCTCTGAGCAACCTGGTCTACTAGAAGCTGTCCCTGTAGGGGAGTTGGACGAGATGACCTTTAAAGGTCCCTTCCAACGCAAACTGTCCTACGATTCCATGAGTCAGCATAGGTTGGATCAGCTGCCTCACTCAGGTGGCTAACCTGAAAGGTACAGTTTTGGTATTTCACTACAGATTCTTTTAAGTCCTTGTCTTGGAAGCTAACACTGTTTAAAAAAACCCTAAGTGATTCTGATATCCTTTTTTTTTTCAAAAACCAAGAAAATAATCAGTTGTATTGAGAGTGGCACACAGCAGACACAAAAAGATATTCACCAGCTGCTGTTTGACAGACTTCTGCCAAGCTTTTTTCTGCCGCTAACACTATAGGGCAACAGGTAGGTTCACTTACTTATCTTCATGAAGTGCATTGAAATCCTTTTCTGGATACATACTATAGATTCTTTCCCGCCCCGTTTGACCAACAGGCACTCTCTGGTGCTCGTGTTTGCTGCTGAGTGGAAAGATGAGGACTCTAGTTTCTTGGCATCACCGCAGTCTGACAGCAGCAAGAGGAATAGCTTTGTGTCACGCTAATCCTGCGCCTCACCCATGTGATGTATGTTCCCGTTATATGTGTGTTTCGCGCTTAAACAGTAGTTCTTTAATTGTGGATAGTTGGGAGTTTTGCAGATGCTCAAGAGTTCAGATCTGCTAATGTTAACACAGGCTTCCCCGCCCCCCTTCCTTTCATAACTTGTGATCGCAGAGCCATGAAAGTATGTGAGTCCCTCCCCCGGCACAGACCGATCCCACCCGGCATATGATCGGGGCTCCATGTCAGCCAGGGCAGGCAGCACCGACGGCCAGAGCGCCTCGCGTAGCCAGAGCATCGACCTTAGCGAAAGAGAGTTTCCGCGGGGCTCTTCCACCCGCTTCTGAAGCGGCCAAGGCTGACATGGACAGCATCAGCGAGAAGGAGGAGGCTCTGCTGCAATCTGTGACAAGGACTGGAGCCGTGGTGCCGAGGAAGCGAGCGGTGGGAAGGCTGGTCATGCACAGCATGGCGATGTTTGGCCGGGAGTTCTGCTATGCCGTGGAGGCCGCCTTTGTCACGCCGGTACTGCTCAGCGTAGGGCTGCCCAAGAACCTCTACAGCTTGGTATGGCTCATCAGCCCTATCCTGGGCTTCGTGCTGCAGCCCGTGGTAGGTTCAGCCAGTGATCACTGCACCTGTAGCTGGGGCAAGAGGCGACCTTACATTCTGGGTCTGGGCATCATAATGCTGTTAGGCATGGCTTTGTACCTCAATGGGGACGTGATGATCTCAGGTGAGTGAGGGGCACGCGCTGTGCTGACAGACAAAACTCATCCTAGCCTTTTGAATCCGAAAGAAAGGAGGGGTTCCTTTATTCCCTGCTCAGATGGGGTGTTAGAATTGGGCATCATGTTACTCAGCCGCATTGAAGAAGCTGAGGAATGTTGCAGTCTTCCCACAGGTTCAACCCTAAGACTGCATGTTATGTACCCTGTGCATAGTGTTGTGTAGTTTGTGCGTGTGATTACAGCGTGCTGTGTGTTGGTGTGGTTGCCTGGATCAGTTCATACAAGTAAAGCACTGCGTAGGCCCAGAGAAGTTTTTAAGAACTAAAATCTACCTTGTTAAGTTAAAAGATCAATATTGTTTGTGTCATGTATTACACATCCAAACTGATATATCTGTTAATCTCTCTTTTAGATGGATTAGCATTCAAAATACGTATCTTTAATTACTGCAGTACTGGCTTGGCTCGGGAATATGTTATGCTGGTGATTAGTAGAAATCAACAACTTCTTGGAATCTGTGTTGCACCTGGAATGTGCAAAATCAAATACAGTGACATCCTTAGATACTGTTCTATTTCAGCTTGAGATGTAATTTCTCAAAGTCTTGATGCAAAGTTGTTGCTGTCATTATGAGTTGGCAGAAGGGGGAGGCATGTGTATTTATGGATTGATTTATTCTCTCTTCCTGGATATCATTGGTGTTTAATATACCTGTATTCTTTTGCCCAAAAAGAGGTGTTACACTCAACTCTTGATTATCTAAAAAAACGGAAGGGTGGGACAAGTAGAATAAAACAAAGAAGTACTACAAAATGCATGTGTGCTGGGCTACCGGAGCATGCCATGGAGGTGCAAAGGAGTAGATTAGTGATGCTCTTCATTGTGGAGCTTGGACTACCCTGAGCTTGTTCTGACTCAAGGCAGTAAGTCAACCTAGCACAGCTCAGTGCTACCCAGACTCAGTTATCCTGCTTCTCTGACGTGATTCTGGTATCACTGCTCTCTCTTGCATAACTAAGCATTGGAGGTATCAGGAAAGGTAAAATGTGGTTTAGCAAAACATGGCACTGTTGCTGTCAGAATGAGGGTGTTTTTCTTTTTGTAGCTTTCGTCGGTGAGAGAGACAAGCAGCAGACGTGGGCAATAGTCATTACCATGCTGGGAGTAGTGCTTTTTGATTTTGCAGCTGATTTTATTGATGGTCCCATCAAAGCATATTTATTTGATGTCTGCTCTCATCGGGATAAAGAGAAGGGTCTGCATTACCACGCCCTCTTTACAGGTACTCAGATTCCTTCTTTTCCTGCCTACCTCTCAAAGGAGGGGAAGGTAGTTGCCTGGATTTTATTCTCACTGTATTTCTAATCTGAATGAACTAATCATCTGATCCTGCACTTCAGTCACGAGTCTTTTGTTGCTGGGTTTTCACTACTCCAGAGAACAGCAACTTGTGATTGCTGCTACAAGAATTCTGCTGCAGAAGGCTGCAGGCATAAACATTTACAGTAGCATAGCCATGATTTAAGTAAGAGCAATGAATTATTTTTAAAAATGAAGTAGTGTTTATTCAGCTTGTTCTGATTTTTTTCTAATTTTGGGTGAAGCAAAAATTAAGGGATGTAACTTGTTTCCTTGCAATAGCACACAAAAGTAACATTTTTGCCTCAGCATGTGACATGGAGCAAGAGCTGCACAAATCAGTATAGTTGATTTCCATTCTTCAGCAGTGCTACAATATGTGCTGCCTTCTTGCATAGAAACAGGAGTTCTGTGTAAAATTCAGAGTTTCACAACTGCAAATAAGTACAAGTGGTTCAGTCCAGTCTCTTGCAAATGAACAAAGAGTTTCATTTACCTTTATACCTGTTTGAAATGTTGCCAAATTACAGAGGGAAACCTTCCGTACTATGCAAGCCCTGTGTTGAGAGAATGCACAGGGAAGACACATAAGGCTGTGTACCTGTAATGTGAATTGGGAGGAACTTCCAGCCACGTCTGAGAGCCGTCACTGTGAAGGGACTAGACAAAGAGCACACTAGATGAGAAGTCATGCAATCTGTGTTGATGGAGATTTTTGTGGCTACTGAGCCATACCAAGAGCAGAGGAGCATAGATTCAGTGGCAGTTACTCTAGTCGAGGAGGGAGGTGTAGTAGCTCTTGACAACGGGCCGATTTTGGGCATATGAAATAGCTGTGTCCAGGAACACAGATTATAAGGAAACCTTAAAGCCACGTGGGAATTAAATCATTATTATCCATTATGATTAAATCATTATCCATTAGAAACTGACAGATAAAATATTTAACAATCACTTTTTTTGGCAGAGAAGGAGTGAGTTTCTATGTACATTCTTGCCTTCAGCAGAACTCTGGTTGCAATTTTTCCTTGGATGATACTAGAAAGGCTTGATTTCCAAGTTTGGAGTTAAAGACTTCGCTGTTTCATTTGCGTACTGAGCTGTGAAAAGGGATGTCAGACAAATCACATCAAATAAGACTGAAACAGATTGCATTTACTTGGCCCAGCACCCTGTGCCCTCTATAGCAAGATCATGGGTATCTACCTGAACCCTTCCTGATGGGTAATTAGGCCAGTAAAAAAAAGACCTGGCCTGTTCTTGAAATCCTCCTCTGATGTGGGTTCTGCAGCCCTCCCAAGGCAGTCTGTTCCAGCAATTCACGGGCCTTGTTGTTAGACTGTTTTCCCTAAAATCTGTTCTCAATATCCATTCCCTACAATTTACAACCTCTTGTTCCTTCTTCTATCCCTACTAGACACAGACAGCAATCTTCCCATTTCTTTTCTAGCTTCTGTTTTAGATATTATTTTGTTTCCCTATTTCGTTCTTTGGTTTTGTACTAAGTATCTTCAAGATTTTGCTTTCCTGTCTTCAGTTTGAAATTTGAACATGAAACTTAATAGCTTTGCAGTGATGAAACTTATGACCAGTGACAAGTAGAGGGAAGAGTACACATACCCAACACACAACACTCAGACTGCATTCCAAAATCAGGATTATGTTTTGTCAAAACAGTATGCAAAGATGAGCTCAAACACCAAACGTTCACTCTGTGCAAATATTTAGTGTAGCTTTTCTTCAAAAAGTTATTAACAGCTTAATTGATTTTCATTACGACAAAGAAGGATACAGTCCCCTGTAAAATTCAGTAGGACACAATGAAGAAGGGCCATAATCAGACCCAAGAGGGAAAAAATTACAGAAAGCTCAAAATGAAATCAAAATCCCATGTTTTGTAGCTGAAGCAAATGTAGGGCCTATTACCTCTGTTACTTCTTGTTAGACAGAATGGTTCTGCCATACATTGCCTTCAATTCTTCCAAGCAGAAGAGTAGAAATACTTCCCGGTCCTTCAAATGCTTCCATCCTGTCTGGCTCCCACGTCCTGCAGAGCCACTTGGTTGGCAAGGTCTCAGGACTCTACAAAGCTGCTTCCCCTGCCAGAGCTCCGTACCATACATATCAGTGTCCACTGTCTTGTGGTTCTGAAACTGTACACACCAATAACAAAAAGAAACTGTAAAAAAATTGGACTGAACGCTGGTTTTATTAACTTCAAGACACAAGGTAGCATTCTCATTTTACCTTTTGTTTTAACTTTTCTGAGAAAATCAGCAAATAGAATTACATGTTTTTATTTGATCTTTTTTGTTTTCTTTGCCAAGTGGTGGGGTACTTGGATGTTGATAACCAAAACAAAGCTTTTGGGTTTATTTCCTCTATTTTAAATTTCACATGGAGATAGTATTTTTGTTCAGATTCAGCTATATAAAATACACTTTACAAAGCCAAAACTATAGATAGTCTTGATATAATTAAAAAGTGTTTGTTTGTTCTGTGAAGTTTTAAAAAACTCATAAATTTCAGTAGAATTCTGTTTTGTATTAATTACTTGCTTTTTCAAAGCAAATAAAACCTCAAAAAGTCAAGAAAAGAGATGGAGGCCCATGTCTATATGTTCAGGCATTTTTTGGAGAGCTCCGTCCCCCAGAACTGAGGAGATTTTTCAAGAGATCTTTTGGTAACTGCTTATGTATGTGATTGGCTCAGTATTCCTATTTCTTGCAATTAATGTCTGAAGAGTGATTATTCAGTCATTTCTAGAGGGGATCACATGTTGAGGGTATTGTGTACTGTTTGTTTATTTTATCAGTGCTAGTAGATCTTTTTTCTCCTTTTTTCCCACCCCCATAGGTTTGGGAGGAGCCCTGGGTTACCTGACAGGTGCTATGGATTGGGGTCAGACTGTACTAGGATATTCCTTGGCATCGGAATTCCAGGTGATTTTCTTCTTTGCAGCCTTGGTTTTCCTAGTCTGCCTTACTGTACATCTGCGCAGTATTCCTGAAGTCCCACTCAGATATGAAAATGAAGAGACAAAGATCTTGCTGGAAGTGACTAAGTCCTATAAATATAGCTCCATGGAGGAGGAAAACAAGAACAGCTACTTAAAACCAGTATGTACTGAAATAAAGGCTGCAGCCAAACCGAGGAAATGCGCTGTTACGTCACACACCGAGGTAAGTGCAGAGATGATTTTGTAACCCATATCGTTCCATCCCTGGAGACCCTTTAATTAGCTGACTGGGATGGAGCCCTTTCACACGCACAGAAAGAATCCTCCACCAGGGTACAGAGTCAGTAGAAAGCCTACTTTCTTTTCTCTTTGTTTATTTATGAGGTATCTCCAGCAAAAGGGATGAGACAGACTAGTCCTGGTGCTTTGAACAATTGGCAGGGGTGAGGGAGGGCCAGGTTCAGGCTTCTGCTCCGTGTCAGTCTCTTGGTATCCTCCTCATGTGAATACGTAGTACCTATGAAGTGTTTGTTCCCTGGTCTAGTAAACGTTTGGGTTTGCTGCTGCCCAACATTTCACTGAGAATTTATTGATAGTACTGATGTGTTTAAAATTGCTACTTCTACAGCAATACTACCTCGCTTCTGGAGCCTTCTTCAGAAGTGACGGTGTACCTGTCTCTGGCAGAACTCTTAGGTGAGAGAGAGCAGCAAGTACTTTCAAATCATCACTGTTATTTTGTTTCTGATGCATTTTTATGAGAGATTGCTTCAATCTAAGGCAACTAGGAAAAGGTGGATCGACCTGAAAAATACCTGGAGACCACATTCCTAGAATGGTCTTAGGAACAGCTAACAGTTTTTACTGTTTTGTTGATGGCTTGTACTGCTAGGAATCCTCACTGCACTCCCATGGTACCCTAGGTAAGCAAAGCCTAATGTGTATGTTTAGTTCCTAGTATAGCAATAAGTGATGAAACAGTTGCTTGTTGTTTTAAATTCAATTCTGATCTCTTGGTGATATGTATATCTGTCCGTGATATAGGTCTTGATAAATCAGGTAAAAAATACTGAGAATGTGCAGATGGTTATAAGTTACAAACTTAAACTCATGTTTAAGCTACAAAAAAAGGGACTTGCTATCTTTTACTATTTATCGTTTGCATTAAATAGCACTTGGTATTCCTAACCTGAAAAAATATTACACCAGATGATACAATACAAAGGTAGAATTAAAGCTGACACTGCCCGATGAGAATGCCAGGCAAACACAGAGAGGGACCTCAAGCAACAGTTTGTCAGGAGAATATGGCTACCACGCTGCGATGCTGTCCCTGTTTCCCTGCCGTTGGCCAACTTGAGCAACCAGCATCCTTTACCGGCATTGTTCACTCTGAGCATCCTCCAATTTGTCAGAGATGCTGGGTGTCGTTGACTACTTGGCTCCTGTGGGCTCTAAAGAAAGGAAGGGAAACGAAGAGAGAGCAGATGCAGTGAAAGCAAGGGGAGCAGACCATGGATTAGTAGGTTGGTAGAGACAAGGGGTAGCCTCTACCTTGGCAAGAATTAATTACACTGGATCAATAACGTCTGACACCCGAGGTAAAGCTCTGGCATCCACTGTGGGGAAGCTTGTGCCATTGCACTCCTCTCTACATTTTTAGCTGAACATCCTGTCAGAGGCTCACAGTGCTTTAATCTGTCCCCGCTCATGGCAGAGGGGGTGGACTGGATGACCTTTAAAGGTCCCTTCCAACCCAAACTATTCTGTGATTCTGTGATTATGCGTTTCTTTGATGTGCCTGGGCATGTGTAAATTCTAGACACTCATGGCCTTAGTGGTCTGTCTCTTTTGCCACATGTTTTCTGAGTTCATTCATTACTGTTATTGCTTCCTTGAAGAAATGGTTTGGCTTCCTGTTTTTCTGTGTCTCTGTTTTTGCTGCAGGCATCATGGCCCTCTATCTTGTAAATTAAGGACTGTGCTCTCACATGCTAATAGCTACCATGATTATTAATGAGATTTGACCTGTTACAGTATGAGCAGACATCCAAAGTCTTTTGTTCTTTAGTCTGATGCCAAATTACGCAGGATCTACTGCCATAAAACCCAAGTCTTATTGATCCCTCTGTATCCTTATGAATCATCTTGGGCCTTGAGCTGTAGTGATTTTATAAAGAAAATGATTGGGTATTGTGAGCTTTTGAAGGATAAGGCACTTAAACAGAGCTAAACTTCAGCATGTCATTTAAATTAGCGTGGGGTTTGTGTGTTGGTGTGTATTGAACGTGTGCATTAAACATGTCAGTTTCCATTTCCACTCTCTAAAATATCTAAATAGAAAGCAAGTATTTCTACCTAGCTGTCAAATTATTGTTTATAATTACAGCAGCATCCTTTGTAGTTCCCTGACCTTATGTTAACACTTCGTTTGGAAAGGCTGTTTTAAAGAACTCTGTGGAAGAGAGGAACAAACTAAATAAGCCAAGTCAAACAATAGTAATTATCTTTGAAATACACTTAATGAGACAATGTGGAATTTTGGGGGGTTTTTAATAACTGTAGGAGAATAGAAAGCTTACCCTGTTTAAAAGAGACAGTGATGCCAAGAAAAATTCCAAGGGATTTCAACAATATGCAGTTCAAGGTGAAAGTCAGCAACTTGAAACTGTGAGGATTAAAAACCGCCCACTGGAGCAAAGCATTTTCCAACTTTATATGTGGTGATTATTCATAGAGTAGCTTGCAGCATAACCTAGTTCAAAGGAAAGGGGAATTGTGAAAAGTACAACATTGAAGGAAGGAAAAATTGTCATTATCCTACAGCAGACTGAAGACAAAATTCAGCTTCCCAGTAATGAATGTAACTTTTACAGTTCTTCCACATTTCATGACCATACAGCTTCCCTTACCATCTCTCCCAACACTGTTGCCTCCAAACATCACTAGAGAAAATTGGAAGCGTTCTGTCATGCGCAGATAAAATAATATCTTTTTTTCTTTAAAAGCAAAGAACCACACAGGAGCTTTAAAGCAGTAAGAATTGTGTGTCGCAAATGCCTGACATCAAGCACATCTACAGTACTCAGAAAAATTCAGGTGACGCAAGTGATCTGATGAATGTGACTGGAAAAGAAACAGAGAGTTTTGGGGCACAGGGCTCAGACAGGAGGAGGAGGAGGGAGATAAGGTGGGGCATTGAAGGTGGTGAGAAATTTTGTTTTTCTCCATCAGTGAGATTTGTTAACCAGCACCAATAACATTTTGATTTTGAAATGAATTATTTCTCCCATGGGATGAGGTGTTCAGGTGCTGGAGCTCACATTCTGTGGGTGCTAGGATTTTGAGTGGTGCTGCATCTCCTGTGATGTATCATCATCTTTCCCTGCTTCATGGTGGGGAGGCTGGTACATAGTGGAAATCTTATCATAGAATAGTTTGGTTTGGAAGGGACCTTTAAAGGCCACCTAGTCCAACCCCCCTGCAATGAGCAGGGACATCCCCAACTCAATCAGTTGCTCAGAGCCCTGTCCAGCCTGACCTGGAATGTTTTCAGGGATGGGGCATCTACCACCTTTCTGGGCAACCTGTGCCTGTCTTATGACATGCCAGAAGGGGTGAAGTTTTCTAGGGAAATTAGCACATAGAAGGGAGTGGCAACAAGTTCTCAGAAGTGCTGTATTCCACAACTGATACATTTTAATTCTCAGGAAGTGGTTTGAGTTTTATTTTTTCTGTGGCAGTTTTAAATTTTCAATGTAAAGCTGATTGTCTCCATAAAGAAATTATTTTTGTTTCTGTTTTTGTTTTTTTTTTAAACTCTACTGAATCTCTTTTGGCAGAAATTTTTCACGTGGTTCTATGTGAAAGGAAACAATAATCCTACTCATTATAACAGCAAGAAATCTTACAACCTTACTGATATACCCCAGCTCTCCCAGAGTCTGTGAATCTTTCAGATGACTTCATTAGGCAATGGCTGAATGAATCAAATACATACATTCAGTACCCAACCAACCCTTCCTAGCAAAAAATAAAAAACTTCGGAAGTTCAGCAATGAAAAGATGCAGAGGCCTTCTTCATTTGCAGTCAGCTATTTTATTAGCCTTCAGGGCAATAATACAGTATTATTGTTAAATACTTGTTTTAGGATCAAAGGCGGATGACCCTTAAATCACTCTTGAAGACACTTCTAAGCATGCCATCCCACTATCGCTATCTGTGCGTGAGCCACCTCTTTGGATGGATGGCTTTCCTGTCCAACATGCTCTTCTTCACGGATTTCATGGGACAGGTAAAAGCGTAAAATCCTCTCGCTTCCCTTTCCTCGTAGCATCTCCTCCTCCACCAAAAAGAAATGAGACAGTGTTACAGTCCTGAAGAAGCGACAGTGGTGGCAGAGCCAGTTGTACCTGCAGGGCTCAAGAGGAGTTTTGTAAAACAGCTAATTGATCTCAGCCTCCTGGACCTTTGGGGAAAGCGTTTTAGTATGTGTAAGGCTATTTGTGCCTAACCGCTGGAAGCGAAGCTCCCGGAGCTGTTCCCGACACGCCCGTTCTCCGCGCCGGCCGCGGAGGCGCGCAG